CGCAGTCGTTGCACGGGGGTGGTGTGGGCACAGCGAGGCGGGCTGGAGTGGTGGTTAGCCAGGACCCGGGCCAGCAAGGACAGGGGTGCATGAACTTAGTTATTTAAGCAATTCCCGCAGAGTTTTGCCCAGACAGCATTCTCGGGGAAAGGCGTAGAGGTCTGAGTGACTTGTTGAGGAAGAGCCGAGTCCGGCCGCTGCACCAATGAAGCTGGCTTTAGCTCCAGGGCACAGGGACGGCTCAGCGTAAGGAGGCAGGGAACGAGGTCACGATTTCTCCATCCTCAGTTGCTCTCGGTCCTTCGTGTCACTGTTTCATTGCAGCAGGATTCCCAAAAAGGGCTTCGTCGAGGTGACTGAACTAACGGACATCAACTATAACAGCAACCTGGTACGCCTGAGGCCGGGTCACATGAATGTTGTCTTGATCCTGTCCAACTCCACCAAAACCGCCCTCCTCCAGAAGTTTGCCCTGGAAGTCTACACGTTCACAGGGTAGGCTGGGACCCTCTCCCGGGTTTCTGTTAGTGTTTTAATGATGTGTGTAATGCTGCTCTGATGACAAGTTAGGAGCAGTGTCGGCTCACTTGCCAGGAGGGAATGCTTCTGGCGAGCACGGCAGCCTCCGCGTTTGTTAGCAGCAACGAGCCACAGAAAACCGAGTGGCCTTTGTGGGCCGTGCTTGGTGAAGGTGGGTGGATGGGTCTGGTGTTGCCGCCGCTTCGGCTCTACCCACATTTCAACAAATCAAGAGCACGACAGTGCTGCACACTAGGTAATCATCACCCATGCTGAACTGGGTTCAAAAAGGAGCCGCAGTGACTCAGCTCTGCGCCTGCTCGTGTTCCAAATGCTGACCTGTCCGGTAGGAATCTGGCCTGACTTGGGAGACGTGCTAATCCTGCTTCTCCTCTGCTCTTCCCCCAGGAGCAGCTGTCTTCATTTCTCCTTCCTCAGCCTGGACAAACACCGAGAATGGCTGGAGTACCTGTTAGAGTTTGCTCAGGATGCAGCCCCCATCCCAAACCAGTACGACAAGCATTTCCTCGAGCGCGACTACACAGGCTACGTCCTGGCTCTGAACGGCCACAAGAAATACTTCTGCCTCTTTAAGCCTCACAGATCGGGGGATGAGGGAGGAACCCTGGGCTCCTGCGAGGATTACGATTCCTCGCTACACACAGAAGCCAGAGGGAAATCCTCCTGCAGCCCGGGATCTAGATCCATTAAAAACAAATTACACAAATTGTCTTTTTGGATGGAACGCCTCCTAGAGGGTTCCTTACAGAGGTTCTACATCCCCTCGTGGCCTGCGCTAGACTGAGGGATTTTAAAGAGATTCTAATGGACAAACTTTTTATGAAGATGACAAGGGACAGCTCTTTCCAGGAATAAGCAAACAAGCGTGACAAATGGACCTTAGGTTTTAGATGAACTCTCCTAGGGCCGGCGACTAGAGCCCAGGAGCGCAGCCAAGCGCAACGAAATTCCCTCCACCGACTCCTTTGTGCGTTTGGATGCCGTGCTACCGAAGAGCCAAGAAGTCTGTTTTCCCCTTCTTGTCCTGCCGCATCTGCTTCCCGAGTTGCCCCCGTTCCATCTCTCATTTTACCTCGGTTGAAGAAAAACCCGTGACTTCTCTGCGCGGTGACTCGGTCCAGACCGAACGCGGCCAGCAACGCAGGTCGGGTCGTGGTTCTCTCTCCCCTTCCCCGTGTGCTTTAGCCCATGGTGCATGGTGTAACACTGGCAAGACCCTGCAGACCCTCCCAGGCCCTGCCCTTCCGAAAGGCCTCCTCCCACCAGGCAGTCGTACTTTATCAGCTTTCCCCGGGGTAAGTGATCTAGAGTATGGTCGGGAGCATCTCCCTCGTAGCAAACCTGTAGCTGGGACTCACCTGTGGTGCGGGCTCGTAGGCGATCTGCATGTTCCATGCTCCTCGTGTCATAGTTTTACGCGCAGCTTCACCGGCTGAACCATAACCGGGGAGGGAAGGGGTTTTGCACGGCCATAAATACTGTAAAGGTGTTGAGCCATTTAAATGTCACATTGATTTTTTCAGATGCCTTTCTGCTTCTGTCGATTTTAGACGATGTATCCTAGAGCCATAACTTTTAACTGTGTCCTCAGATTGTAGGCGTGAGCTGCTATGAGCCAGTAGATGTGTCAAGGAAACTCTACCTAGCTGCTAGGGAGTCAGTCTGGGCTCCTTTCAAACACCCTTACATCTGTAGTACAAACCAACCTTTCTTTGTATCAAGGAACCTAATTCTTCGATGATTGTATTCTTGAAATGTTGCCCCAGAAGTGCTGTGTCATGAGACCGTCGCTTACATGTGAAACTCCTTTTGGTTTAGGCGTGCGTTTAAGACCCTTGGTTTCAGCCTCTCATCTGTTTCCTTCTTGCCACAAACCTTTGTTTCTCAACATGCAGGCCCCTGTCTCGTTTTTTTTGTTTGTGTTGGGGTTTTTTTTTTGTCTTTTTGAAGTCATAGGTCTGTGTGAAGCTAGAAGAGTCGTAAAGCACAGGGCTTGGTTTACCCTTTGCTCTAGCAGGGCTCCAACAGCCACTTTCAACACCGCGGGGGAGAACGGGTGGCCCTTTGTGAGGCAGAGGGAAGGCGAGCAGCAGACTCGTGGCCGCTTTCCCCTCCTCAAGCGATAAAGCAAAGCAGCAGAGTATCTCTTCGCAGCCGGGACTGAAATTCTGTGGGGCTTGTGCTTCATTTTCACTGCTCCAGGGCAGACACCATCGCCCAGGCTGGTACCTACTGCGCCTCCTCCAGCCGCTCTGCGCAGGACCTGAGCCACCGCCGTTCCCAAGTCGCTGTTAGGTTACAGCGCTGCCAAAGCACGGGGGGCTGAGAATCTGATGGTAGAGCCCTCGGTCGAGCACGTTGTGTTAAGTTAAAAGCTCACTCGGCCCTTGCCCCCTTCGTTACCATCTTGGCGGAGCAGCCAGGTAGTAGGAATAACTATGCCAATCTCCGAGCTAGCTGCCAATCCCATACCAAATCCGGGAATGCTCAAGTCATTTTCCTGCCCACATGACCTAGCTGCTCGCAAACCCTTGGCTTGCTGCATTCCTCCCCGCTCTGGGAGCAGATTGGCGTGCTTCAACCACCACAGGTATCTCCGCCACCCTGTATGATGTACTTCCAAATAAAGGCTACGATGCTACCAACTATGCGAGGTTACTTAATTTTACCTCAGCAGCTCTGAGCTTGTGCTGCTGCATGAATGAGGCACTGAAGTAGAGGGAAGGAGGGAAGGTGAGGTCTTCTCCCTGCCAAAGAGCTCCGAGGTGCCCATGTACTGCTGAAATGGAGCGGGAGGGGCAACAAAACGCTGGCCTGACGCCGCTACACTTCATTTTCATTTGGCTGGAGCAATGGTCATAGCACTCCTGTGCTTTTCCCACAACTTGCTGTGCAGGATGTGCTAGAAAAAGGTGGTAGCCCAGTGGAAGGCTCTGCGTAACTTTTTAAGTGTTTGCAAAAGTAAAAGGAAAAAAAATAAAATACTCTCTGGGTCTCTGCTGTCGCTAGTCAGAAACCAGGAGAAAACCCTCGACACATTAAAAAAAAGTGCCTAGTTGTGCTACAGCAAGGGAATTCAGCCCTGCCCCAAGAAAGAAGGCCTTCTGGCCTTCAAAATACAGTCCATGTGCTGCACACCAGCTGGAATCCTTTTTTTTTCTTTTCTTTTTAGCACGGGTAACCCCCGCTTTTAGACTGAGTTTTGTTTAAGGAGCACTTGCAGAAGTCCACCATTGCCGGCTGCGGCTTTTAACCAGGTTAGACTAACTCGGCTTGTGTCACTGTTTTATCGAAAACACTTCTTTTGTGGGCTGAAGCAAACGCCAAACTGTTCTAAACCCCTCGTTTAGTTAGCTGTGGTGTTCGTGGTGGAGCAGTGGGTGCTTGCTTTCTTGGAGAAGAGCGTGGTTGGAGGCTGCTTACGCCCGAGATCTGTCTGCCCTCTCCCAGCAGTCACGAGCTGTCACCCCCCAATAATTTTCTCACCTGCCGCCTCCAGCGGCGCTCGACCCATATCATAACGTATCATCAGCGAAACGCACTTTGCGATTCCGTGATGCACATGGTGGTTCGTAATCCAAAGATTGAGGAAATTCAGTCCTAGTGCACTATCCTAGCGAAATCCGAGCATTCGCACACTGCTCAGAAGCTGAAGCAAAGGGATACAGCCCCCCAGTCTAAAGGTTTTGTACCAAACCGCCTCCCTGTACTGAGCCTGGCGGGCAGCGGCCGTCCACGGCTGCCC